AGTGTGTGAGAGTGTGAGGGTGAGTGTGAGAGTGTGAGTGTGAGGGTGAGTGTGAGAGTGTGACTGAGAGGGAGCGTGTGTGAGAGTGTGAGGGTGAGTGTGACAGTGTGCGCTGACTGCTCCACACCAGCAGCTACAGGGCCGTGCCAGTGCTCACCAGTCCTGGGCCTTGGTGATGAAGAGTGTGCTGATCTGTGTGAGCACCAGGAGCAGCGTGTGCAGCAGCAGGCTGGTCAGCACCGGAGCGGCCAGCAGGCTGGCAGGGGGCCGGCGGGCACACAGCTGGTCCGCCGGGCCGGACCGACCCATCACAATCGCCAGGGAGGTGACCAGAACCAGGTCAAAGAACAGGAACTGCAAGTCACCCAGGTTAGTCTTGACCTGGAGACAGAGAGAGACGGGTCCCCTCAGAGCAAATTCACTCCGGAGTGTACTGGTACTGAGCCACTGGCCCAGCAACACACCCACCGGTACAGCGACACACCCACTGGTACAGTGACACATCCACACTGACACAGCGACACATCTACACTGGCCCAGCGACACATCCACACTGACACAGCAACACATCTACCGACACAGCGACACACCCACTGGCCCAGCGACACATCCACACTGACACAGCGACACATCCACACTGGCCCAGCGACACATCCATACTGACACAGCGACACATCCACACTGACACAGCGACACATCCATACTGACACAGCGACACATCCACACTGACACAGCGACACATCTACCGACACAGCGACACACCCACTGGCCCAGCGACACACCCACACTGACCGACACCGATACAATCTGACACACAGACAGCTACGATGTGACACACTGACTGACACAGTGACACACTCACAGTGTAGAGGATGAGGACGGAGCTGAACTGAATCAGGCTATACAGCGCCATGTATCTGAAGAGCCCAAACGATGTGACTAGAGAACAGCGCCCCTCCCTGGACAGAAAGAGAAACACATGTAGACGTGTGAAGCAGTGTTGAGAGCAGTGCCCAGTTCAGGCCCGGGACCGGCGAGGCCGCCTCACCGGATCAGCAGGGGGATGCAGGTGATGTCGTCCGTGTGGGAGGTGAAGGGCGAGGCCACCGACGCCTCCGCCTCCGAGAGAGACACGCCCACGTCCGCCGCGCGCAGGGCTCCGCAGTCGTTGGCACCGTCGCCACACATGGCCACGCAGTAGCTGAGAGAGGGAGCAGGACAGCATTAACACGTCCCGGAGCGTCCCAGAGCGTCCCGGAGCGTCTCGGAGCGTCCCGGAGCAGGATGCTACTCTGCCCCATTGCCCCACTGTTCCGCCCCACCCCCAGCTTGAGGTAAGAAAAGCCCAGCCCAGGACACAGCACTGAGCCAGTACCACTGCACACACAGGCACGCTGTCTCTCTCCCCCACCCCCCAACTACCCCTCCTCCCCCCATCTACCCCTCCTCTGCCCCTCCTCCCCCCATCTACCCCTCCTCTCTCCTCACTTGATTTTCTGCAGCTCCTTCACCAGCTGTGTCTTCTGCTCTGGCGCCATGCGTGCGTAGATCGTCCCCCGGAGCAGCACCTGCGGGAGAGAGAGTCCCGCGGGTCAGCTGGGCCGGACACGGCGCCGGCCAACGGGAGCGGGAGTCCAGCGGGTCAGCCTCACCTTGGGCAGGTACTCGGGGAAGTGCTCACACAGCACAGAGAAGGACTTCCCGTTGAGCGCCAGGTGATAGGGGCCAGGGGCCTGCTGGTACAGACCCTGAGAGAGGAGAGAGAGGGGAGAGGGGAGAGGGGAGAGAAAGAGGAGAGAGGGGGATAGAGAGGAGAGATTGGGGGGAGAGAGAGGGGAAAGAGAGAGGGAGGGGGTGAGGAGGAGGGGGGGGACACTAAATTATTACACTACACTAAATGGGACAAACACCCCACAGAAACTCTGCACATGGAGATCTGTAGAATCATCCTCCACGTGCAGAGAAAACTCCTAACAGCGTGTGCAGGGCAGAATGAGGCCAATATCCATTACTAATAAAAATACAGATAAGAGTAATAAAGTACTGGCTACACCTAAAAAACAGCGACCAAAACTCCTACTACCACAAGGACCTGCAGAGACAAGAGCTGAGCCCAACAAAGAACCCCCTGAGCCAGCTGGTTCTGAGACTCTCTGGCCCGAGCCACACTGACACCAGCCAGCCTCAGGACAGCACTGCTAGAGCACCACGACTCAGACTCAACCACGTCACAGCACAATACACACAACTCACAACCAGCCTCAGGACAGCACTGCTAGAGCACCACGACTCAGACTCAACCACATCACAGCACAATACACACAACTCACAACCAGCCTCAGGACAGCACTGCTAGAGCACCACGACTCAGACTCAACCCCATCACAGCACAGATCAAACAGCAATATCTCACACACTGGGACACACACACACAAACACAACATAAACTTAGGGTTCTGAATGCTACAGAACCCTAAACAGACAATACACACTAGCCGAATATCTGACCAAGATAAAAAACAGTAGAAGAAAGCAAAATGTCCACAGGCTGGACAGCTCGGACTAAAGTGGGAATCGGAGTGGAGTCAGCAGGCCAGACAGTGGGACAGGAGCAGGAATCGGGGTGCAGTCCGCAGGCCAGACAGTGGGACAGGAGCAGGAATCGGGGTGCAGTCCGCAGGCCGCTGGCAGACAGGAGCACCAGACCCCGGACTGGAGGCGGACGCTGAGGGGTACCTGAGCAGGGAAGTCCACTCCATCCTGCGTGGCCCCCCCAGACTCTGCCAGCAGGAATCTGAGTGTGGGCGGAGAGCAGCCCAGGGGGGGCGTCCCGTGGACGAAAATGACCCTCTCGCCTGGCGCCACCATCCCGCAGCCCCTCGCCACATTCACCGCTGTCAGGATGTTGTCACCTGCCGAGTCAGAGGTCAGGAGGTCAGGGGGACCTGTCGCACACGCACTGCAGCACACACACTAGAGCATACACACACACCCAGAAACACACACTAGAGCACACACACACACACACACCCAGAAACACGCACTAGAGCACACACACACATGCGCACACTAGAGCACACACACACACATGCACACACTAGAGCACACACCCACACATGCACACACTAGAGCACACACCCACTAGAGCACACACACCCACAAACACACACTAGAGCACACACACACAAACACACACTAGAGCACACACACCCACATGCACACACTAGAGCACTCACCCGTCGCCATGATGGTGCGGATGCTGGCCTGGCGCAGTGTGGAAATGACGGGCGCAGTCTCTGGCTTCACCAAGTTCCGCATCACCAAGAAGCCCAGAAACTGCATGCCGCTCTCTACCGCCTCCCTGTGGACACAGGAGAGAGGCGCGACTTACACACTGCCAGCAGGGCTCTGCAGGCTGACTGTCTTGTTTTACAGCTGTTTAAATCCACTGAGCGGCCTGAGATCCATTTTGATCTGATAAGATCCGCTGAGATCTGCTCAGTTCCCAGCTCTCTGTGCCGACAGCAGTGCTGCTGCTCCCAGCAGCCCCAGGCTGACCCCGCGGTGACCCCACGCTGACCTGGTCATGTCCTCCAGCTCCTCCTGACTGCGCTGGGTCAGGCTCTTGTAGGCCAGGCCCAGGACCCGGAACCCGTCGCTGGCAAACTGGTGCAGAGTCATGGAGAAGCTGGCTGGCACTGAGAGAGAGAGAGATGGGCAGAGCTCAGCTCCTCTCTCCTGTACACCCCTACACCCTCTCCCCTGTACCCCGCCACAGCCCTGCACACCCCCTCTCCCCTGTACACCCCCACACCTCCCACACCCCTCTCCCCTGTACCCCCCCACATCCTTGTACCCCACAACTCCCACACCCTCTCCCCTGTACCCCCCCACATCCCTGTACACCCCCTCTCCCCTGTACACCTCCAACATCCCTGTACCCCATCACACCTCTCCCCTGTACACCCCCACACACCTCTCCCCTGTACCCCCCCACATCCCTGTACACCCCCACACTCCCTCTCACTATGCCCCCACCTCACCGCTGTCTCTGCGGCACAGGCTGGCCACCATCTCTGGCGCCCCCTTGAGGAAGGCCAGGGCTGCTGTCTCCCCTGCGGCGCGGACCACCACGCCCATGCGCTGCAGCGCGGAGGAGAAGGGGAACCGGCGCAGGATGGCCAGGGGCCGGCTGGGAGTCTGGACAGACACAGGCGAGAGGAACAGACGTCAGGCCGTGGGGCACACCACCCAGCCACCCCCAGCCTGCCCACACACACACTGCCGCCCCACACCCCTGTCCCCCGCTGTACTCACGATGCCCTGGGGCTGCTGTTCAGGGGCAGGGGGCTTCATCACTGCCAGGACCCTCACCCCCCCGAATAGCTTGCTTGCCTCCTCCTCCGGCTCCTGCAGCTCCTGCAGGGGGCGACACGGAGCTCAGTCAGGCCGGCGGGCGGGCTGTCTTGGAACAGGGGTCTCCACTAGTCCAGCCCACTGGTCCCCACAGAGACACCGGTGGCCAGACTGTACAGCTGAGGTTCCTCCTGGAACAGCAGCTCAGACTGCAGGAGTGCAGTGAAACAGCAGCACAGGGCTGAGTGAGGCTGGGGTGAGCTGGGGTGTGCAGGAGTGTGGCTGGGGTGAGCTGGGGTGAGCTGCAGTGTGCTGGAGTGTGCTGGGGTGAGCTGGGGTGTGCAGGAGTGTG